ATCATTATGTACAAGATCAGTATGATTGTAATGCTATTACATTGAATTATGTCCCATCTAACCTTCAGGCAGCAGATATGTTCACGAAAGCACTAGTGAACATAAAGCTTGAAGATAGAAAAATGTTAGGAATTCAGGATCCCGCGCTTAAGGGGGGATGTTAGAACATAGTAAGCGTTGGTATAAAACTTCATTCGTTACTTGCACTCTAACTTGAATAGACGTTTCTATCAAAAACACAGTAGGCTCTGCCCGCGAACGGTTGGTTTTGTTTTTGCTGGTGCTGATTTCATCTGTTTCACGCATTTTTTCTTAATTGTACCAAGTCAATAAAATATTAGTTTTCGCGTGTGGATAAGTGTAAATTATTATCCATCACGTTTTAAGAAGCTTTTAAGTGATATTGTTATTAACGTGACAACTCTCCGACAAGAATTTGTTTCGAGTAGCTGTGTTGCTGTGGTGTCGCGTTGGTCGGTTTTTCATTTCGCTTGTTTTTGGTGCTTTTCCTCCCAAGAAGAGTTTTACTGGGTGTTTTTTTCTTCTTTTCTTGGTGCTTGCCTTCCGGAGGATGCATGCCAATGAGGTGTTAGCCTAAAATTCGGAGCAAATGAAAAACTTTACATGTGATTCGAAATGTTGTGTTCGGTTGTAAAAACAACGCGGAAAATATGTTCGATTACCGCGAGTGAACAAACCGGCGCTAATTTCGGAAGCAGAATTTGGTGAGATCCATTTGATAATAAATCAATCATAAATGCATATTTCCATTATTCCTTGGGGGAGGTTGTTCATTGAAACTTCCGGTCCGCTTCGTAGCATAGTGCTTGCTAAGAGGTGCCCGGTGGTAACCCACTGATTACCTGACGATCGGCCAAATTTGGAAGACGTCTGCATTGAATTGTCTCACATTGTGATATTCCGCCCAATAATATCACAATCAATTGCGAGTAGCTGAGCGGAATGGAGACAAGGAAAGCATTTGGTACAGGACCAAGTCTCTCCCGGCTGGCGCCAAAACAATGAACCTGGAAGCAACTGGATCAAGTTGTCATGGGGCACGAAATGATCCTGTTGCAATCGGGGAAAAGGGGGGGGGGGTGGTTTGGTGCTAATGTTTAATTTGTTTTTGTATAATTTCAGATGTTAAGGTGGTTCGCTGCCTCTGGATGGTGGGTTTGACGGTGGTTCAGCAAGAATAATATTGAGACATACGGAAATGCAACAAACGTGTCAAAATAACTGCATTGGTAACGAAAACACAGAGAGGAGAACATCGCAGCAAAGGCAAATACTAAGGCGGCGGAGCGTCAACAAGGAAACTAAGCAAGCCGATAGGAATTTGACCTGGGCTTAGGTCAAGCAGCTGCCCAGAATGGAAGTCTTTCACGTTGGCCCTGTGCACCTCTGGAGGTTTCCAGGTATTTGAGTACGACGACGATGGACGTTGCCCCTTGGAACGGAATGAAAGCGAACAAACCTGATGTTGCACAACAAGCCGGCGTGTGTGTGTATGTTTTTTTTTCAGCAAAACAACAAAATCTTCTTCTTTATTCTTTTAATCTCTTACTATCCCTTAATCGGACGCTAGTGGGACCAAAAAGCCTGCTAGTGAAAGGAAAGTCGTTATGCTATACGGTCTAGCATAGGCCACGTCTAAATTTCCGTAGGTTCATGCCTGGCTTAAGTGCAGATCGGTAGGCAGCAGCCAGCCAGGGTGTGAACTGAGCAATAACAATAACAATAACAATAACTAGCGCAAGTGTGCCTGCGATTTGTATTGAGTGTCGGAGATTGTAAGTAATCTGAAGGATGCCTCGCTGGATACGCCCAAGACCGGACGGGCAGTAGCTGGTGGCCGTGAACTATTCCTGGGGAAAGCATTAGATGCGACTCTCCTCCCACATGACCATGGCAATACAGGAAGTATTGGTATTGGAAAGTAATTACTATTAGATATTTTGCAAACAGTGACAGATGGCGGACATGAAAGACCAGTGGAGGTGCCGGGCAAAGGTGTTTATCATAGACAAATGGTAAGTTACAAATTCGCTGTTGTCGTTGTCGTAGGCGCCGTCGTAGTCGCTGTCGTAATCGCCATCGTAGTCGTAGGCAGTACCGTTAGTATATTTTAAATTAACCACCAACCGCTGAAAATATGAATTATCGCGTATTTCTGTTGTTCATTACATACCAAGTAAAATTCGATAACGTAATTTCATTTGAATAGCTTGTTCAACCAGGTCTTAAACAATCGTCACGTCGGTCATAGCTTGTTATGATTACCTGAACCATGCGTGAAGAGAAAATCGAAACATTTAACGTCGTGTGAAAATGGATCTTAATGAAGGCCTCTTTCATAGCTTTTAGTTTAAGGATTTCAAAGATCGTCGGTTGCAGTGGCTTGCTTACTGAGCAGAAAAACGCGGTCCCAGATCCTTTCATATTAAAAATGTATGGTTAGATCACATGTTTATCGTGTATTTCGTAAAACTTTTTGTTGTCGTCGGTGCCGGGTCTGAATAGTCATAAAAACTTGTGTAACGCTATAATGTGATATGAGGGGCTCGGTGGCCTTAGCACAACCGGTTTTGCTTACTGAGCAGAACATCATGAGTCTAATCTCAAGCCCATCCACATTCAAGATTCGTCAATCGTTTTATTTGTTAACATGACTACATGGTAATAACAGCAACTCGATGATTAAAAAGGAGCTCGTCTGCCTAGTGGCAAACGTTTTTGCTTACTGAGCAGAAGACCGTGGCTTCAATCCCAAGCTCCTTCGCGTTATATGATTGTTACGACATCAATTCAGCTTATCGTTTACCAAAACGAAACCTGCTGCAAACCCAACCCTATTACCCAATATCTCAGTGATTCCTCGTGGAAGTGCAGAGGTGTTCTCGGCTAACATCAAAGCGAGTGTCACGTCAACACATTCCTACCCCTTCCTTTCTTGACCTATGTTCGGACGCGGCCGGCGCTGGTATTGCCTAGTTTGAGATCACCAGTTTTTACACATTGAGGATGATTGCTAGTCCCAATCATCGTCTATTGGTTCTCTGTGTAATTACAGCTGGTCTGGCAATAACAGAGTAGCAACCGTGGGCGGTCAATCGTGCTCATGCGTGCGTGCTCGTGCTCATCAATGCATATTTCCATTATTCATATGATAACGGTAGTGTTTACATGCAGGGCTTATTGTGTGTGAAAGTAACCTCGGAATGGACGTGAATTACCACGCATTCTGAAATGGGGATCGCTTTCTAACTTCCGGACTAAACTTGTTTCAAATTTTTACCTACATCAAGGATTGTTGTAAGTAAATTTCTTCCATAATACCACTGCCGGCCAGTGGGGGTTAGATTGAATAAACACACACACACACACACAAGTCAAAACAAGGATAATTTTCAAAACAAAAAGAAAATTAATGAACGAACTGTCAGGGCCGCCTATCCTTTGCCTCACCCCGGGCGAATTCTTAGCCAGTTGCCTAAAGCTAGGTACTTAAGCATTCCTCTAGACAAACCATCTCGACGATATACAGCGTTTAGTATACATGGCAAAGGCATGTTCCAATTCACCAGGTTGCCGTTCGGCCTGGTGAACAGTCCAGCCACACTGGCTCGACTAATGGACCAGGTATTAGGCCATGGTGAATTGGAACCGTTTGTATTTGTTTATCTGGACGATATCGTCCTAGTTAGCGAGTCGTTTGTAGAACACCTAAGGCTACTTCGTAAAGTGGCCGATCGGAGCTAATGAGCTGCCATTCCTAGGATACCTCGTCTCTACTGACGGATTACGAGCCAATCCAGAGAAGGTCCGTGCTGCCGTGGAGTACGAGAGACCGAATACTCTGACGAAATTGCGTAGGTTCCTAGGAATGGCAAACTATTACCGCCGTTTCATTAATGATTTCAGTAGACTAACGGCTTCATTATCGGATCTGCTAAAATCCAAGAGCAAAATCCTGCTTTGGAATGTTGAGGCGGAAGAATCCTTTTGTGTAATAAAGGAACGGCTCATCAGTTCGCCCATTTTGGCAAGCCCGGATGTTAACCCTAGAACGTAGCATCCAAGGGCTTCATCTTCTGTTCCAAATACAAATTTGGTAAATACAATAATACACACTTAATCTAGCTCGGTAAAATCTCCAACAGCCGATTACCTCGGCATTTACTTTTGCTGATATCTCTGCAAAATATCTGTTTGTTAGCTGATATCTCAGCAAAATTTTATTTGTTAGCTGAGTCTCGGCAATTGTTTTACTGAATCTCAGCAAAATAAATTGCAGAACTACTCCGCTGTTGGAATCTCGGCGAAAAAATTTAAGCGTGTATTATCGATGCCCAGGGAAATTATGTAAATCTACAGTAATTACATGTTATCATTATTATCAAAAATACACACACATTTAAACATGAACGGATGTTTTTGTTCAAGAAATTGAAGTCAATAAAACGGAGGATCTTTCATGGATATAATACCTACATTGTGTACAATAATACTTCAAACATTAAGTTGGAATAATACAAATTAACGGTTAGCGGTGCTTCCGATAAAATCATGATCAATTTATCCTGCAGTGTTTATCGAAGCTTTCAGTTAGCCGATTATTTGTTATCGAAGCTAAAGATTCGGTAAGCTGTGCCCACCTCTGACAATATGTGGTGTATGCGAGGTATTCGAGTGTTTTCTTTGCCGTGATACAAAAGCGCTTATGCCGAACGTAAGGAGGGTGTCTCAGTAGTGGACAGGGAGAACTCCACCTGTTAGATCCACTAGAACAGAAATCCCTTTATACTTTTCGGAAAATTTCTAATAAAGATAACTCATAGTTTTATATAAACCATTACAAAAGATCATAATGTATTAGTATAAGTGGTCACACTAATAAACCTATAAAATGACTCTAGAAAACGGAAACGCATTGCAGATCATAATAGAGATCAATTCTTAATAGAGCAAATTTACTGTGACAACAATGCACTTACCGTGTAAGTCTTTTGCTTCTCGATTCCGGCAGCATGATGCTGCTGCTGGGCTTCAATGATCTGCTGTTGGTACGATTGAAAGCTTGCTCCCAGCAAATGCGGCGGCGGATGCAACGGTGATGATATTTGACCATCACCACCACCACCACCATTGGCAACAACATGCTGTAACTGTTTCTTATCCTCCTGCATTGGAATCGGTAAACCATGCGTTGTCCTGAGATGATTGCTAAGCCCCTCGGAACTGTCAAACGATTCGTTGCAGTTGAAGTAATGGCAGCAATGTTTCGGGGATCGTGCCACTGCTCCCGCAGTGATGGGTCCCTTCTTGAGATCAATAGCCGGATGACGCATCTGCATGTGCTTGGTGAGGTGATTTTTCATGGTGAATCCCTCGCTGCAACCGAGCACGGGACAGGTCAGATACCTGAATAAGGTTAAAGGAGTGATTAGAACCTAAGTTACCAACTGGAGAAAAAGTTGAGCTAATAAGGTTACTGCGTTTGAGAATATCTTCATTATAAAACGATTCTCTAGCCATCTCGGTCAGCGTTTCAAGAAAGGAATAAATAAAACAAAGTAGGCATACATGGAGGGAGGAAAGCGCTTACCTTCCATCCAGATGCCTTTGGACATGCTTTTTCAGCAAAACTTCATCGTTGAATGTCATCGAGCACATGCTGCACGCGTAATCACCGTGCTGATGTGTCATGTGCAGTATGAGATGAGGTTCTTGGATAAACCTGGAATCATATGTGTCGATAGTTATCCGGTGTTAGACTTAAACAATTTCGTAAATGGTGTTAAATTTCAAAAAAACCAAAAACAAAATATTTCGCCAATTAAAAACAAGATGAACGCAATGTAAATGGTTTGGCCATTACCTCTCGTCGCACTTTGGGCAGGGGAAGCCAAAGTTCGGGCCGTGTATTTTCAAATGGTGCTGAAAGAGTGACTGAGACTTGAAACGCTTGTCGGGACACTGGGGACAGAAAAAGGTCTTTGCAGTGCTGTGCTCCGAGATTAGGTGGAGGTTCAACTGAGTGGCTTGATAGAATCGTCTCGGACACTGATTGCATACGTACTGTTGGGTTTTGTGGTGCGTTTTCATGTGGTTGTTTAAGTTGGTCACCTGAAATGAGGAATGAAGAAGTGGAAACGTGGTTTATAATCTAGTAGTCAAAAAGTCACCGTTCAATTCTATGACAGTTGGCTTACTTGAGCGAACGAGCGACCGCAGTTTGCTTCGATGCAAACATATGGCCGTTCACCGGTGTGCAATCGTCTGTGGTTATTTAGATTTGTGATTTGAGTAAACGCTTTGCCTGTAAGAAGAATACTTGCGAGTGATGTGAATTTTCTGAAGGATGATATTTACAACAACATTACCGCAATCAATGCAGACATAGGGGCGCTCATTTGTGTGAATACGAACGTGGTTTCGAAGGTTTGCTTGCTGTGAGAATCCTGATGTAGAAATATTAAATTTTAGAATAACAGTAGTTTAGAAAAAAGCTTGAACAATTGGCGAACCTTTCTGACAGTACTCGCAAATGTACTTCTTCTCCGCGGTATGATTGCGTATGTGGTTGAGAAGTGATGTTTTACGACTAAATGTTTTATTGCAAATGGGACAGCTCCCTTCCTCGCCTTCTAAAACTTCGTTCTAAAATATTAAAAAGAACATTTTACAGACTTTTCAATCAAATTTGAAAACTTTACCAATACTCACATCAACTGCTTGCAGCGTTGCTTCCAAATCGAAAGGGATTTGCTAAATTGAAGAAAAAAAAATAAGAAAAACATTTCCTAAGTACACATGCATATTTAAACTGGATCAATCAATACTTACAATTTGGTGCTTTTTTGGAATTTGCTCCCCACCATTTGTCTAAAACATATAACTCTTCATTAGCGCTTAATAATAATTGAAACGTTTGAGAACTATACTCACAGAGGCTCCCATAATTGCCGAATTGGTGGGAACCATGGTGGGGCGCGAGCTGTCATAGAAATTCGGCATCATCCCTTTCGTTATACCTTTTCAGAACATTGGTCAAATGTTAGTTAGTAGAACGCTAAGATCAACTGATTTTCTTCAACTGGAGTGGCAGAAAGGAAAATTAAAAGACAGAAATGCACAATTAGTTATTCCATCTCACGAATTGTAGAGGACTAAAAATAACATTCCGATCGTACTACTCTTTTTTTTTTTCACTATGGCAGAGAAAAGAAAACAACCATCTCACGCGTTGTTTTCTTTCTATCAACAAATGTAAATGTTCTGGATGAAAAGAAAACAACCGAAGAGAATCAAGAAGAAAGTGATGAGCTTCCAACAGATAGTAGGCTTTGTTTTATGAGGCTTAACGGGTGGACCTCGAGTTGAAGCGACATTCATTATTACTGCACAAACGATGTTTCATCAAAGCACTAAACTTACTTAAATCGCGGTGCAAATTTAGCAGTTTTATGCCTAGCACTTCTATTATAAATACAAACAACTATTCCTCGCAGTGCATCAGGAGAAAAAATCTTTGTTTCTGACAGATCGGACAGACATAAGCCATATGGTTGCTTCTACGGCCGATGGTGGCTCTGGTTGCAGTGGAACGATGGTGTAACATGAAAAGCGGATGCAACCGGCATAAATGGTAAATCTCTTGCATGCAATCTTTGCCGCTAGGGTGGGCGATGTAGGAGCATGAGATTTACTAAATCGAACTATCGGGAACCGATTTCGCTTAGATCTTAGCAAAAGTGACGTTTCGGAAAATGCTTTGCTGAATCTCAGCTAGTTAACGCATTAACTACGTAGACCGATGTTCAGAGGCTTTAGAAAGTTTATAGAACTTATTTGGATTTTTTTGAAGTTCAAAAAATTCACTAGATGTTCTCATTAATCTTTTCTGAAGTTCCCGTAATTTTACTGGAATTCTCGAAACTTATCTGTAGTTCCCGTAGTTTTACTGGAATTCTTGGAACTTCTTTGAAGTTCTCTGGACGTCTGTGAAATTCCTTAATATTTCCTAAAGTTTTCTTAATTTCTTTGAAGTAATTCGAACTTACCAGAAATTATCAGGACTTCTCTATAATATATAATAAATATTATATTTATAATTTAATAGGGGCTACAGCTTACGAGGGGAAGAATTTTCCTAAAATCGTCCGAACTTGTCTCGATTTTCTAACATCTTCCAGATGTTCAGTGATATAATTTTCTTAAAACATTCTTGGAACTTCCCCAAGCTTCACGTAACTTCTGTAAAGATTTTTAAGCTTTTGGGATTTTCCATCGACTATTCGCTGCTCTCAGGATGTCTCTGTAATTTTTCCAACTTCCCTGAAGTTCTCTAGACTTCCCAGAGATTCTAGAAATTCCCTGGAGTTTCTTGAATTCCACAGATTTTATAAATTTTACCTCAATGCTCCTGAGGTAACTAGAACTGTCTTGAAGATCTTTGATCTTCCCTGAGGTGTACAAACAGAATTTCCCTTAAAATCTCAAATTTTTTAACTTCTTTGGATTTTCCTGAAGTTTAAAGATTTTCTAGATTTTTTCACCTCATAAAGATGCCACGATTTCCATAATCTTAATTAATATTATCTGAAGTTCCTGTCATTTTTCTGGAATTCTCGTATCTTCTCTGTAGTTCCCATAATTTTACTGGAATTCTCGGACCTTCTTTAAAGTTCTCTGGGCTTCTGTGAAGTTCTCTGAACTTCTGTGAAGTTCCCTATTATTTTCTGAACTTTTCTTAACTTATTTGGAGTTCTTCGAACTTCCCGGAAATTATCAGGACTTCTCTAAGATTAATATTCCTGACAATATATTAATCCTAATAATTTAATGGTTAGTGTGTAAATCCAAATAATTTACTCAGGATAGAATTTTCCAAAACTTTTCAGAACTTCCCAAGAGTTCCCAAAATCTTCCATATGTTCATTGATGTAATTTTCATAAAACATTCTTGGAACTTCTCCGAACTTCACTTAACTTCTGTAAAGAGTTTTAAGCTTTTGAGATTTTCCATCGACTCTCTGGATTTTCCTGAAATTATTTCAACTTCCATGAAGTTCTCTGGACCTTCCGGAAGTTCTCTGAACTTATAGAAATTCCCTGGACTTTCCTGAGTTTCACAGATTTTTTTTTCAATTTTCCCGCAATACCCCTGAGTTTAATAGATGATCTTCTTTTAAGGTGTATTAACAGAATTTCCTTTAAAACCATTTTTTTTTAATTTCTTTGGATTTTCCTGAAGTTTAAATTTTTCTAGATGTTCTCGAAACTTCTCATAAGTTACTGCGATTTTCCTAAAATTCATGAATCTATTCTAAAGTTTTTGTCATTTTTCTGGAATTCTCGGAACTTCTCGGTACTTCCCGTAAATTTATTGGAATTTTCTGAACTTCTGTGAAGTTTCTTAATTTCTTTAGTGCTCTTTGAACTTCTCTGAAATTATCAGGGCTTCTCAAAGGTAAATTTTCCTGAAAATCCAAATAATTTACGCAGTTCCAAGCTTGTCACTTTAGATCTAGACATTTAATTGAAATCTATAGGAACAAACTCTTCAAGATCTTTAAACTACCCTGAAAGGATAGACTTTCCTTCTCTTCTTTCTTCAAAATCGCAGAACTTCTCTGGTCTTCCCTAAGGTTTTTGAAACTTGCCTAATGTCCCGGCAATCATCCTGAAGTGTATGGAACTTTTCTGAAGATCATGCAATTTTCCAGTTTTGGAAACATCTCTGAAACTATCTTCTCGGAACTTCTGGCAAGTTCCTGCAACTTCTTGAAATTAATGTAACTGCTTTGAAGTTATCTGAAGTTAGTTCCCTCAAAGTACTCTATACTTCTCTAATGTTAATAATAGCTAAACTCGGCAGGCTCGGTAATCTTTTAAGTTGGTTTCGATCGTATCATACTGGTCGCCAACTAATGATTGCCATGGGAGATTGTAGATCAGTTAGTTTCTTCGCCACATCAGGTATACTTCGGGGAAGTCACCTGGGACCGTTGATTGTTCTACTGTACTTCAACGACGTGCATCTGGTCATCAAAGCTCCTCGGTTATCATATGCAGATGAACTCAAAATCCGCTTCCTACGAATCCGCTCGATTACTGACTATAACTTTCTTCAACGTTGGTGCAGTTTAAACATAATGGTAGTGAACTCAACCAAATGCTCCGTTATTACGTTTTCACGAAAACAACAACCGATAATATTTAGCTATGACCTGCTTGGCGCGACAATCGAACGCATGAATCAGGTGAAAGATTTGGTTGTGATCTTGGTTTCGCATCTATGATTCAAACAACACATTGCATATGTTGTCGATAAGGTGTCTAGAACTTTAGTGTTCATTTTCAGGATAGGTAAAACCTTCACCGACATCTACTGTCTAAAATCTCTGTATTGTTCGCTTGTTAGATCGACGCTTAAGTATTGTTCAGTGTTTTGGAACCTAAACTTTAACAACGGTGCCGAAAAAATCGAATCTGTTCAACGTAAATTGCCTTGGAATGATCCGTTTCGATTACCCAGTTACGAAAGCCGTTGTCAACTTATCGACCTAGAACCTCTCCGGACTAGAAGGGACACAAGCAACGCACTAACCACCGTGGCGGTTATCCTGCAGGGAAGGAGAGGGTATGCTGAGGCAAATTGACCTGAATGTTCAACCCCAACCGCTTGTTGATGTAATTAAGGCCTATTATTGTAAGACCATTGTTCCAGGCTTCCTTCTTACCAGAGCCCATTGTTAGAGCTTTTCTTCGTACACGGCCCATCATCTTTTGCACGAGCCCTGTTCCCACTTGTTTAACGCTTGAAATCCTTCAGGTCAATTGCAGTTCCATGCTTTTCTTTAGTATGTGCTTCACAATTGACCAGTATTGCTCAATTGGCCTTAGTTCCGGATTCATCGCCTTGGGAACCACTGTGACGCCATTTTCGCTATACCACTATTTGGTGGAATTTAGGTAGTGGCAGCTTGCCAAGTCCGGCCATAATAGGCAGACTCCTCTTGGTAAATTTGCAGGTTCATGGTCCCAGAATTAACGAAAGATTAGCTTTTCAGCCCACAACTGCAGATTGCTTGCCAGACAAGGAACTTTTTTGCGAAATTTCAACGTCAATTTGATCAAAAACTACCAGGAGCGAATAGACCGGGATTTTTGTTTCGAGCGTGCAGGATCGAATCGCAACGAGCTTGCTCTTATAAAGCCATTTACCCTTATTATATCATACTGCAATCATCACAACCCGATAATCGCATTGATGAGTATGATGAAGGGTTTAGGAAAATGAAACAAATCAAATTAATTGCATTGCAACAAATTAAAATTCATTTTGAAATTGTAAGAGATTGTTGATTATTCAAATACCTACTAATATTTTTTTTTTACTGATCATGACCAAGGGATCAATGTGATACAACTTTTGAAAGAGATCCAATGGACACCATAAAAACACAAATTAGCCATATTTTTTATAAATTGCACCCCTAGGTTTTGCATAAATTTTAAAGGGGGGAGAGGGTGACAAAAGCAAAATTTATCACTTGTTTCGGCCTTATCTTATAAAACAAAAATCTTTTCATTTACAATGGATCATTCATTTTAGTGTTATTAAAAGATTAAGCTGGAACCACAAAACTCAACTCGAATGTATAAGACAATGTATGCATTCCATCCTTCCCCATATATGTTGATAGCTTTACCAGTAGTTACATCGGAATGAACAACCATACCATAGACGAAATTATAAATTGCCAATCATTGGTGATACTTACCTTACCTTGTTTCAGCAGAAGCAAGAGTTGAAAGTATATTGCGTCAATGTCCATATAAGCACATTGATTTACACCGGTTTCCTGAAATTTAAAAACAAAACAAATCATCAAATACCCATGTGTTGTTATCAGTTGGATCTGTTATCCATGGAAACGCAGAGGCTCCTGAGATTCAAAACAGGCACCGCATCGTACAAACTTGCATTCAAGTTGCATCCGCTTTCATTCGTCCACATGACACAACCACAACCTCATTCCCGAAAATCCTGTCGGCTTCTTACTAATATTATCCTTTCACACAGACACACACTGTCATACATCTGTATATCCCGATCCTATGCAATGTGCCGACAAACGGGAGACGACAGCGCAGCGACCCCGTGTGTGTCTAATTTCAAGTTAATAACATAAACAAGCAACCCGTGGCCCCGTGTGCTGCTGGCTGGCGATGCAAAAGTGGCACGCGTGTATGTACCCACCTACCTGCCTACCACCTCCGAAGCACATAAAATATGTAGGATCTATACTGTACATACATACAATAGGCAGGAGCAGTGGAGACGATGACGACGACAACGACGACTACTCCTATATACCTATGCTAATGCATGGCTCGGCTTGGCTCCCACATGAATGAAAGACACCCGGGTCGACTGTCGCGTGGCACTCGCTGGGGCTAGACTAGCCAGGATGCATTTTGCGCTTTTATGTACCAACATACATGATATGACTGAAGTGTTGTGTTTT